TGCATTATCTTGCCACACCAGGACTCCTCACAGAAATCTTCATTTAACAAAAAGATCAAAGTGTGTAGTTATTGTTGCTTGATATATCCTCTAAGTCTAGACACTTCTGAAGGCAGTGTTTACAGATAAGCACTGGACTGAGAACCACATGGTTGGTAGTTTAATCCCACCAGCTGTTACATGGAAACCCTGGACAGGGTGTCTATGAGTCAGAACTCACTTGATGGCACTTAACAACAACAACCCTTCCCCAAAGAATTCTTCACTTTTCCATTTACACTACCTCTAAAATGGCAGTTTTGGCATCTTCGAGGGATTCAAATCATGTTTCTTTTCAAACTTCTTGGGTATTTAGAACAAAGGTGTCTGAAGGGGCAACATTATGGTTATAGGGTGAATGGTGTAAACTTTTCCAAGAAAATTCTCATAGGATAGTCATTGGTACTCTAGAAGAACAAGTAAATACACTGTTGTGATGGAAAATGAATTTCTTGGCACAACTTTCCTGGCCTTTTTCTCACCAATGCAGTCTTCATTTTCTTAATTTTTTTTTTCATAATCACAAGCCCCTCTGATTGTCTTATGTCCTTCTAAAAAATCCATCAGTGTTACCCTTTGGAAACCCAAATAAATAGTTGTCATAACCCTCTGAGCTGACTTCTCTGCTTTAAATCATCTTTGAGGTCTTCCAGACCTTCCTTAAAACACTTAATCCATCTAAAGCGGTTTATTTTTTTTCTTCTTTTAAATGTGGGACAGCATTCCTGTAAACTTGTTGCACAGCTTCAAGGATTTCAGAAGATGTCCATTTGAGTTTTGTTATATATTTGATATTAGTCCTGAGTTCAAAACAATTTTTTCCATGGCACAAAAAGAACACTTTACTTTTAAGGCACCCACCCAAGTCCTACTGTGATTTTGTGGGTTAATGCACTGTACTGCAAAGTCACTTTGAACCACAAGATCGGCAGTTCAAGCTCACCAGCTGCTCTTTGGAAACCCTATACGGGGTTTGCTATGTGTCGAAATCGACTCGACAGCACTTAATAACAACAAAGGAATTCTGGTAGCATAGTGGTTACGAGTTTGACTGCTAACCTGAAAGATCAGCAGTTAGCAATCACCAGCTATTCCGTGGGAGAAAGATGAGGCTTTCTGCTCCCATAAAGATTTACAGCCTCGGAAACCCTATGCAGGGTCGCTATGAATTGGAACTGACTCCACGGCACATAACAACAACAACAAAGATTTACAGCCTTGGAAACCTTCTATGTAGGGTCACTATGAGTTGAAACCACAGCACATAACCACCATCACCACCAAGGCACCCTAAAGAGACTAAGGAGTGCTGGTGTGGTGCTGCAGGAAAATGCACTGGACTGCAGGGTCAGTTTGAACGAAAGGTCAGCTGTTGTATGGAGTCCTGGTGTGGTGCTGTAGAACAGCATTGGACTGCTAACTCAAAGGTCAGCTGTTAAAACCTACCAGAGGCTCCTTGGAAACCCTATATAGGGTCACTATGAGTCAGACCTGACTCGATGGGACTTAATAATAACAACATTATATGAAGTGGAACCCAAGTAACAATACATTTGACTTATTCAAACATGTCAAGAAGAACTTTAATTTTTCCAGCTTTATTGTCAAATTAGGCTTTACTATCAAATTACACTATTTACTTTTAAAATCATATAGTATGGAGCTCAAAAGGGGATAGTATTCTAAGACTTTCTAATCTGAATTTATTGTTTTCATTATAAATGAAAGTGAGGCTCTGAGAAGTTCATTGATTTCTTTGAAGTCACATGGCTAGAATGATGTGATGTCCAGGACAAGTTGGACTATTTATTTCCAAAGTAATTTATCAACGACGTATGAGTATTCCGGAACACTTAATTGTGATCATTAGGAACCTGTGTATAGACCAAGAGGTAGTTGTTCAAATAGAACAAGGGAACACTGGATGGTTTAAAATTAGCAAAGGTATGAGCCAGGGTTGTATTATTTCACCATACTTATTCAACCTGTATGCTGAGCAAATAGTCTGAGAAGCTGGATTATATGAAAAGAAATGTGACATCAGGATTGGAGGAAAACACATTACCAACCTACGATATGCAGATAATACAATCTTGCTTGCTGAAAGTAATGAGGACTTAAAATACTTACTGATGAAGATCAAAGACCACAGCTCTCAATATGGATTGCATCTCAATGTAAAAAAAAAAAAAAAAAATCCTCACCACTGAACCAATAAACAAAACTTGAAGTTGCCAAAAACTTCATTTTGCTTGGATCGACCATCAACACTCATGGAAACAGCAATCAAGAAATTAAATGACATATTGCATTAGGCAAATCTGCTGCACAAGACTTTTTTAAAGTGTTGAAGAGCAAAGACGTCAGCTTGAGGACTAAAGTGCGCCTGACCCAAGCCATGGTATTTTTAATAACCTTATATGCATGCGAAAGTTGGACAGTGAGTAAGGAAGACTGTAGAAGAATTAATGCATTTGAGTTATAATGTTGGAGAATATTGGAAGTATCATGGGCTGCCAAAAGAACAAATAGATCTGTGTTGGAAGAAGTGCAGCCAGATTGCTCCTTGGAAACCAGAATGGCCACACTTTGTCTCTCATACGTTGGACATATTGTCAGTAGGAACCAGTTACTGGAAAAGGTGAAGGGTCAGAAAAAGAGGCAGACCTCCAGCAAAATGGATTGGCCAAGTTGGCTCAAACACAGCAAAGATTGTGAAGTTGTCCCAGCGCTGGGCATTTTTTTCTGCTGTGCATAGGGTCGCTATAAGTCCTTACCGACTTGATGGCACATAACAACAACAACAATCTATCAGCTAGAAATTGTGTTCTTTTTATTTTTACGAATTGAGTAAAGGTTTGCAGAGCAGATCATCTATTTTACATTCAACATTTGCTTTCATGTCAATGAATGCAATTCCCTCCAGGTAACATTACTTAACCCAATTCCTCCCTTTGTTTCTTTTTCCATTCCACTTTCCTTCCCAACTCTTCTGAATTTGTCTTTAGGTAAATATAAACTCCTTTTAGGATTATATTTTAGTAGTTTATTTCTTTATCAGTCCACATTTAAGAAACAGTTTCTACAACATATTGTGCTTTGTAACTGGGGCCTTATAGTCTCTTATTCATATGTAGAAACTGTAATTCCAGGTAAAATTTTAAATATGTTTGTCTTTGTATATCAATAAATATTAATGTTTCATTCCTGTTATTGGACAGAAGTTATTAATAGGCTTATGTTTTATCATCCATTAATTCTTTATATTTATTATTAAACTGTGATTTTACTGTATTATGATGTGTTCATGGGAAAATGGAATTAAAAGATAATGAAATTTTTCCATAAACTTTTTGAAGCCCCCTCGTAAATCATGAAATTTGGATCAAGAAGACGCATTAAAAAACAAAGTTACACAATAAAAAACTAAACAAAAAAAGTCCTGTAGAAATAACCCTAGGAGGTCTTTGCAGCCAAAATTCTCAGCCTAACTCACCTCCAGTCCTTTTCTTCTTTATGAGAATTTCTCCTTGCTGTGTCTTCTTCTGTATATACTGAGGCTGGGCAAAGTATAAATGAAACCATGAAACTATGAAATTTTAAGAAGGAAATACAGAAAATGTTACAAGAGAGTGTGGACAATGATTTTAATAATGATGTGGTAGTGGTAGGGGGAAGAAAAGTGTTCTCCAGTAACTACCTCCTCCTGTACTCGTCTAAATGTATTTTATTTTATCTGCAATTATGGGCTCAAACATGGCAATGATTGTGAGGATGGTGCATGCTAAGGTAGAGTTTCCAGCTGTTGTACATAGGCTCATTATAAGTTGAAGCCTTCAGAAGTGTCTGAGAGTACTTAACCACAACAACCATGTTATCCTGAGAAATCATTTTATAAATAGGGAAGGTTTCAGTGAATTGTAAATATACTTTATAAGGTCACCACCCTTTTTGCCTGTATTTTATTACAAAGCTTGTTAGTGGAGGTAATTGTTTATCTGCAGCTTCCAAGAGACATTAAAGGACTTTTTGAGGCCCCCCACCCCCCGCAAAGAGTTATAATAAAACCAGGCCCCTCCCCTAACCCCATATCCTTTTAAGATTCCAGCTGTGGCGCTGTAGGATAAGCACTGGACTTTGAACGGCAAGGTCGGCAGTTCAAACCCACCAGTTGCTCCTTGGAAACCCTATACAGGGTCCCTATGAGTTGGATCAACTCAACAGCACTTAACAATATTCCCTCACAAAGTCTCAGAAATACTATACAGGGTCCCTATGAGTCAGAACCGACTTCAGGCACTAACAACATATCCCCTGAAAACAGTTGTGTAAATGTATATTGACGAAACATGATACCAAACAAAGAATTCCAAACCTTACTGTCATGAAAAGATTTGGGGCACACAATGCTTACTATTAAAACCAACCAATAAACAACAACTAGTTGCCATCATCCATCCCAACTCATGGAGACCCCTTGTTGTGTCCAAGTAGAACTGCGCCCCAATGGGTTTTCAATGGGGGATTTTCTGAAATAGAAACCAGGCCTTTTTTCAGAGGTGCCTCTGGGTAGACTGGACACTCCAACCTTTAGGCTACTACCTGGTCACTTAACTGGTTGTTTGCACTATCTAGGACTCTATGCTTAAAACACAACGTTAGTTTTTATTTTTTTTAGCGGCTTTTTTTTTTTTTTAAGAAAACAAATCAATTGAAATTGCTAAGTCCCTATCCCTTTATTGTCAGGTTTCCATGGGCTAACAGTCTGTGGTTGGCACACAACAAACGCTCAGTGATATAGTAAGAACGCCCTTAATAGTTCTTTGCCGCCCCCCTCCCCAAGGTCTCGCCTCCCTCTGGCGGCCACTACAGGCTTCCACTTTCATGACAGTTGCTGCAGTTCCAGTGGCCTCCTGACGTCACATCCGGTCCTTGTGACTCCCGGTGTCACAACCCGCGCGATGAAGTCCGTGTTTGTTACAGTCGGGACCACCAGCTTTGACGAACTCATTGCGTGTATCTCGGCCCCGGACAGTCTTCAAGTGAGTGGGGAAGGTGGGCCGGCGGCATATTCGCGAGCTTCTCGCCTTAAAGAGCCTTCCTGGTAGCTCTGGAAACCTTCCCTGAAGGCAGCCTGAGCTGCTCAAGTCAAGTCCTGTGTCTAGCTCCTCCCCGCACTTGGCGGGACCCTCCTCCGCCTCCCTCCTCCAGCTCCGCCCCTCCTTCCCCTGGCTTTTCCCCTCAGTTCCCTGGCTTTTCCTCTTCCAGTTCACCAGCATTGCCCCCTGCTCTCTACACGGTTTTGCTCCTCCGGCCTGAGGCGCTCTCCTTTGGGTGCCCGGCTTCCCGGGCGGGGAATGCTGGCTCCTCGCTCCCCGGAGGCGCCGTCTTGGCGCCACTCTCGCCCCGCCCCCTCCCGGATCCGTGGCCTTGCCGCCTGAGCCCGCGCTTTTCCTGTGGCTCGGAGGTCGCCTCACAGCTGCGTTCCTCCCCTCAGACGGCGGCGAGGGTGGCTGCTCACAGCCAAGTCCCAGCGGCCCAGCGATTGGGTGGCTTGTTTCCCCACCCCAGTTGACGACTTGGAACAAGTCTTTGGCAGTACTTATATTGCGGACAGGACCAGTTTATTCCATGACTTGGTGAGCTGGGTCGCTCGCATTTAATAGCGGCTACTGAAATCCCTTGTCAGGTCTTGGTACAGGCCAAAGGATTCTTTGGGAAAGCCAACCCCAGTCGTCCCGGGTTAGACTCTGGTGTGAACACTGATTTGAGGGTTTGCGGTTGGGGTGGTGGGTTTTTACAGTAGCTCACTGGATTAAAGGACCACCTTGTTTTTGTTTTTTCCCTTCCCTCCCCTGTTTCAGATTATCAAGAGCCTTGGTTACAACCGCCTTGTCCTCCAGATCGGGAAAGGTGCCGTGGTACCTGAACCGTTCCGTACTGAATCCTTTACTCTGGATGTCTACAGATACAAGGATTCGTTAGAAGAAGACCTTCAGAACGCGGACCTGGTTATTAGCCACGCAGGTAAAGTGACGCCTTGGAACCTCGGTTCCAGTTGTAATAAGCAATCACGTTGTATTAAATAGCAAAGCATTTGAACTTTTTGGAGGGAAAACTTACAGTAACTCGCTAGAGCCCCTTTTCAATCTAAAAGTTGAGTATAACAACTGGGAACTTGAATGGAGAGAATGTTTTATTTCTGGATCAGAGACGATAGTTGGTATCAACTCAGTACACCTGGTTGTATTTT